TGTCGAAAATACACTCGTACTTGCGTAAGGACACAAGACGAGCGGAAAAAAATAAACTAATACACCTGCGACAGCGTAAAAGTGATCGGAAAAATTTGGTTTTTTGTTTCTTATATAAAATATATATATATGCTCATGGGTAAAAATGGGCTTTTTTAAAATAAATATATAAAAATAAGCATATTAAAAAGAAACTCTTTTTTTTATAATAAGTAATGCATAGGGAATTCGAGATAAAGTTTGTGTCCGACGTGCAATAGTCGTTTAGATGTTCTGGAAATCTTACTCTTCTTCCAGAACGCGTTGTTATAGGTTTATTTTCCGATGTTGACGAAGTATCAAGGTGTGTGTCGTTTGTCGTGTGGGGTACTACAGGTGTAGTAGCTGTGTCGTTTGCTTGTACCGAAGGAAAATCGACGTAGCTAGGGTTTCCTTCTTAGTACGCTGCTTTTAAGCGATCGATACTGATGCTATCGTTCGTGCCGTTCTTATCGACTACATAGTACTTGGGTTCACGTTGAAGAACTTTGAAGGGTCCTTCGTATGCTGATTCAAGAGGTCGTCGATGTGAATCTCGACGAACGAAGACGTGTGTACTATGTCGTAATTCAGGTTGAACGAAAACATCAGTTGATTGAGGTCGAGTGTGAGCAGGTTTAACTGAACGCATAGCGTTTGTAAGCCTACTCATGTAAGAGTTTAGATCCATGTTCAATGAAGAAGCTGAAGGATCTACGAATTCTTTTGGAAGTCAAAGTGTCGTCCCTTAAACGAGTTGAGATGCAGTGTATCCAATGTCAGCTTCCACTGCATTGCGGATACCTAGCAAGACGAGTGGAAGAGCGTCTGTCCACTGTGAAACGTTTGTAGCTGATAGTGAAGCTTTAAGCTGTCGATGAAAACGTTCTACCAACCCGTTTGCTTGTGGGTGGTAGGCGGTCGTTCGGAAGAGCGTGATTCCTAATAGTGAGGTCAGACAACAGAAAAGTCCAGATTCGAACTGGCTTCCGCGGTTTGTAGTGATGGTTGAAGGGCAGCTGAAATTTGCTACCCATCGTTCGACGAAAGTGCGAGCCACAGTTTCAGCAGGAATGTCCTTAATAGGTACTGCTTCTGGCCATCGAGTAAAACGGTCTACGCATGTTAAGAGGTATGAGTATCCGTTTGAATCGGGTAAGGGTCCTACCAAATCTAGATGAACGTGGTCGAAACGAGCGGCAGGTAATCGTCCGGCTCACCAGTGTAGACCATCAACGTTGATGGTCTATGTCGAAATGATTGGAGGCCTACTCGAGTTAAACGGGGACGGTGTAACGAATAAGCTAACTTCGAAGTCACACCCCGTGATCAGCACCTTACGTGGATTGAACCATCGACGTGTCAATGGATCATGGATGCTCTGAGGACTGTACAACACAAAGGACGTTATTACAAGAATATATTAGTGAAGGTGGACACAAACGAAAGTACAACCTCTGCCGCATGGGCCAGTCCATGGCGTACGATTGACTGATGCGCGTTGACTGTCCTTGACCTTCACAGGGATCGATGATCTGTTCCATATTCAGTGACCCAACTGCCGGATGATTTGGCTAGGGTTCAGTTACATTTCATTGGCCTTACCTGTTCACATCTGCTTGATACGTAGTGTAAGAGTTGTTGATGATAACTCATGCTAAATATCAATGTCTTCTTTTTGAAGCTGAGCGAGTTTATGAAGGCTGATTCCTTGGAAACAGTTCAAGGAACTTATTCGTGACAATGCGTCTGCTACTTCATTGTTTGATCCAGAAATGTGTTGTATATCTGAAGTAAACTGCGAAATGTTGTCCAGTTGTCGAGACTCTCGGGGTGAGTACTTATCTGAAGTTGAACTTAAAGAGAAGGTAAGAGGTTTATGATCGGTAAAGAGCGTAAATTCTCTTCCTTCGATGGAATGTTGGAAATATCGTACAGCACAATACATAGCTAGGAGTTCCCTACTGAACGTGCTGATTTTCGAAAAGACAGTTGTACCTTTCAAGGTAGCTGCCAAATCGTGAATGTGAGGCGACGGGTAACGATCGGGAATGGTTTTAGCATTCAGACGCCGATAATCACTAGTTGGACGCCAATCACTGCTGTCCTTTTTAGGGACCATGTGCAAGGGAGATGACCTAGGGCTATTTGACGGTCAAATTATTCCTAAGTCTATCATGTGGTCGAATTCGTTTTTAGCCAACCTAAGCTTTTCGGAAGCCAGTCGACGTGCTTTTGAGAATACAGGTGGTCCTGTGTTCGAGATGTGATGTGTAACATTACTAGTTACACAAGGCAATTTCGGTTGCGGTTGATGCATCCCAGAGTATTTATCGAGTAATGATTGATATAGTGGGTCTGTGGCGTGCTTAATTGTGACTAGGGATAATGTGCAACCAGAAAAAGGAGTTATGCAAACAGATCGTGTGATGAAAACAACAGACTGTAAAGGATATGGTTATTTTACTCAACAATCTACTCTCTATATACACTCTCTGTTCTTCCTCATTCGAATCTTGACTTCCCTCTTTCATTCGAAACTACTCCACCTTGATAAATATCATAACTCATTGTTCTTTATTACTGCATTCTCTCCTCTGGAGCCCCTAATCACATTTCACTCTTGTAACATGATCTAGTATCAATTTGATCTAGTAATTTATCGTACCTCCGTCTGTTCCACTAATAAATGTTAAGCATTGGTCATCGTTCATATCCAAATGCCTTGCTGATCCTCGGTTTCTCTTTTTTCCTTCAGAAGCTTGCCATGAGGGTGAAGCTAGGTAACTTCTGACATCTGGGACAAGCTCGACGAACGCGCTTTCCCAAGGTCATAGTTCAAACCAGGCCCTCCACAAGCCTACTTTATAACAACTATAAACTTAAAAAACTGCATTACATAAATACTTAGCACGACCGAAATCCTAATACACTTTTTGTCGAGATTGGATCTGGTATGTAACGTTGACGCCATGCTCCTTTGGAAACTGTTCTTATGAAAACACATTATATCTAAACGAATGAATTCCTATCAACTTTCATAGATTATAATTACTAAATAACCTTGCTTGGGATGCATACTGAACCAGTATATGTTGTAAATTGTAGATTATGCCTGTAAAAATGGTGTGTACCTGCTATTACGGAAATATATTATATTATTATTATTACCTGTTTCGGCAGTTTAGACAAGAAAAGTTGTTTGAATAAGCCATTGTCGAACGTTCGTTGACCTACGGCTTATCTCATCCTTAACAACATGTCCGCCGAGGAACCATGTTACAAGTCGATATTGTTAAGTACTTGGTCTTACCGTTGTCGATCAGTTAGATCTCCGCGTTTTAGAATCGACCGTTTGAGAGAATCGTACGGTTCCGGAACATCACTAGTAAACATACTAGGTGTTACGTACCTGTTAAAATCGCTCGGTAACGCCTTAACTACCGCGAGGAATCGTGTGCGCGAGTCCGTGATTCCGTGCCCGCAAAAGTCAGCTTCTGCGTAGCAGAACCAGGACTCGATATTGTCAGGCCAAAATGGCGTTAACTGAATCGAGGGTGGGGGAATAGATTTTAACTTGAAAACCTTAGGTGACTGTTCCGTCATAGTAATATAAAGAACCAAAGATATTTATTTGAAATATGTTCGGAAAAACTCGAGAGAAAAAGTTTATCACAATATATAAAAATCAAATAAAGAATAACAATGAATAATGATATTCCAAAAGGAACAGACTCACAGTTTATTGGCCTGGTATACCAGATCACGTCAGGTTCATCACTGAAAATACGACTAGTTTTCTAGTTTTACAACTAGCGGCCAGTAGTACCTTCTATATTCGAAACCTTCTTACGCCCGATAGAAATCGGAAGTCAGACGAGAAGAGGTAGGAAAGATATATTTTATACATTATCAATATATCGAAGAACGTTTATTCTAAGCTGATTAGTTAACGTAGGAGCTGTGTCCCACGCCGAGTTGAAACGTGATCTGGTACGGATGCATGACCGAAAACCTTCAGTTAAACAAGTCCACTTAAAAAAATATGGTCAGCATCCAATGTCGAACACTTAGAAAGCTATTGATTTTGGGGAATTATTTACAGCTACAACAAGATGAGGATTTTCCATGGTAATATAGGTTTATTGTGGCTAGAGACGGTGAAAGCACTATAATCTAAATTGAAGACTATATCAAACGTAAGTTTCGTCAATAGTCTGAGTATAAAACTAAAGGTTAGACCATGTTTCATATTACTAGCCGATGGTAAATTTGATTATTCCAATTGAAGTAGCTCATTTTCAATTCATTAGAAGACTTACGAAATAATTAATCCTCACACGAAAATTTGATCTCATTTGTTATAAATCCCGAAATAATCTGTTTGATGATGCTGTCATCCCACCATTTAGCCCAGTAATTTGCCATTAAACAGGTTTTACTAGGCGTTAGGCTTGTAGAAAACGAAAATCAACGTAGTCACTTACTCACGATGGTTTCGCCAACACAAAGTTGATTTCAAAATCTACAGTAACACCAAGGGGTGACTTGTAACGCACGCCTCGAACAAAACATTCAAGAATGAGGATGGAATTCTGGATAATTGATAAGTGACTTTATCACAAACGCACCGATTCACGGAACTATTTTCGGCCTTATAAACATTGGGTATAACAAATACAAAATTAAAGCTAAGGTAATAGAATAAATGACAGTAACTAAGATACAACACAAATGGGTTATGCAAATGACGTTATTAAGAATTAGGTCACCGTATTGAATAGACTTATTTCCTCTCCAGTGTCTCAAAATAGAGCTTGAAATAAACCTAACTAACGAACTTAGTAGTATCTGTTGAACCCGGCCTCTTTATTATCAAAAGCTTCATTGAATGAAGGGTTTTTAGGTCACAAATAGTACAGAGTCATATTACTTTTGTTTCTACTTATTGTGAATGTTATTCCTTTCTTCGTGTGTTCAAGGAAATATCGTGTGACCTTTCTTGTTTGTATAGTCTGTTTGTTAATGTCTCCTGATCGTTACAGCTGACTCTAGGACGCCCTATAATCTTTTACATTATTGGTTAGTATTTGTAGCATCTGCTTGTTATTATGAAAATGTTCGTATGTTATTGAATACCAGGAGCAAGATTCTCCTTAACAGTCCATTTTAAATATTTGGTGTGTTTTTATCAATATTCCACCATATCACTTTTATATTTTTCCAGTAAACATAGTTTATTCCAGCGTTTTGGTTGGATTAAACTTGTTAAACCCTTCGGTTTCCTTGATTCAAACTGAACTTAGACTGGTGTTTCTAAGTGTTCTGTTCACGACTTATGGATTTGGGTCGTCAAAAGTTTGTAGCAGACTTAACCAAGACATTGAACGCTTATTGAAGCGACTGCTGGCGTTTTCCGGATTGTACTTCGTCAAATAAAAGTGTAAAGTCGTGGCATTTTAAATTTGAAAAAAAACAAAAGTTTTCAAGGCGTCTACAGGCCCAATGAATGAGTTTTCAATTCTCTAGTTCGTTTTGCGTACCATATAATGGTAGGTCAGTGTTATATACTGAATAACAAAGGGCCAACCAGGCATAGACCACGTAGTGTTGGCTATTTTACATGACACAACGCATGCTGCCCAGGGTTTTGGGGATAGGTTGAGATCCCTTGTTAGCAGTAACATCAAGTTACCCAATTTTAAAAATTAGTTCCTGCTTTATCTTGTCAGTGAATTAATCGAGTTATCCTAAAACTGTCAAGGTAGTCGAATAAGACATCTTTAGTTTAGTAGTAAGTATCCCATCGTTTATTGTTGGTAGTATTGTGAACCCTTTTGTTTGTAAAAGATCAGGTAACTACATTCTAAACACTGACGCACTCGTGTATTTATTTCGTTTCATGGTTTTGACATGCTAACCTACTGCATAATCCTACTGGCTGAAATTCCAGGTTCCCCGTGTGTTTCATGTGGGGTTAGATAACATATATCACTTATTATCTATTCAAACCAGACGTAGTAGGCTGAAAAAGGACTGAGATTCTTTAAACTATAATGTATTCATGGTATTGCCTATCCTAAGCCCAAATGTCTTCATTGGGATCTGATACATAAGTATTGTCGGTGACCACAGTGGCACATCTACTTTCAGATAGACTCCAGGAACAGGATTGCCTCAAACCTTCCATTCATGAAGTTTAACACTTTTGGTAACTTTACTTTCACCTCACTGTCGTGAAAACATTTTCGTTTCACTGTGAAGTGCTAACCAATATACCTGTGTTCCGAGTATCAGGTTTCAAGTTTTTGATGACCCTGAACGATTCGGTTCAAAATAAACCTTAATAATACGGATGGACTCATTTTTTAAAATGTGAACTTTGAAAAGTTTATTGTTCATCATCCTCTCTCACACATATTCTGTTTAATCTAAAGTATATTTATGTGTTGTGTGACTTAAATCTGTGAAGTTTTGTGCCAAGATCCATTTCATTTTATCGGCGCATACTTTCCTACTACTTCACATGATTATTTATCAAGGTTAGATTAACTTTCCTTTCTATGATTTCTTATACATAATATACCTATTTATCAGCAACCAAATGGTTTCTGTGATTCAAGTTTCAAACGTGCTACACCTGTTTCATAAATTGGAGTACAGACTGGTCAGTAAATGGAAACCAAATGCTTGATACAGTAGGCTGCAACTTTATACAAGTTTAAGTTGGTGGGTATCCGTCTTAGTTTTTATCCCTCAAATCTTCTGGAAATGGAACTTTACCTTAGTCTTCCTTCGGTTCCGCTTTTTCTACCACCATGGTGTCGTTATAAATATAGTTCGAAATGTTAGCTGGATGTAGTGTAATAGCATGTACGACATAAAAGTTGCTGAAGTTTTTCAAAGGATAGCTTGATTGCATGGGATCGAATTTCATTTTGAAGCAATCCTACCGAAAGGATTTCATGGTCCTTTCCAATCACCGTCGATTAAAACTGATTTAACCATCTGAACTGAATCATTCACGAGTAGATTAACAACTAACTAGTTCGTTTTTAAACTGCTAACGGAATGTATACAATATCCAACGAAGAAATCACTCATTGACCCACTCGGTGTGTTGAAAACCGAAGCTATTGTTTATATAGTAACAAATAATATAACCTAGTGACTTATGGAGTACCAAGCAATAAGCCTGAGTAAAAACAAAAGTTATGAAACAACCAGTTGTCCTTGATCTCTAACATAACAATTGATCAATGTTCTCAGGAATACTTAAGAAGTATGGATTTGTACACTCAGCTTTTAGTCACGTCGTAAGGGCTAGTGATACTAATCGACTCCCCAAACTAAAGTGAGTTAAGCCTAGTTTTAGACTATTAACCGACGGTTGCGCATTGATTACTTTTCATTATTAAACCATCCCTTTACAATGTTGACACAATTATGATTTATATAACAAGTCCCGTCAAGGAATTTTATTACAAACTGTTGGCACTTATTCCTAGTGCATACCCTACCACTTCACTCAGACACTGTCCATCCCAATTACGTAATTTTGTATGAATTACTTTCGATGACAATTAAATATATCATGATTGCCTGGTTTTTGTTTCAGAATTTCATGAATTTAATGCATATCATTGTTGCTATCATTTTAACTAAAAGTCATTAGTCTGGATGGTAATCGTATTAGAAAACTTTTTGAATGATGATAACAATCGTGTAAATAATTATGGGAGTTGGATATTGAGTGAAGTCAAATTATTTTCAAAGTTCAAATTTCTTTGGATAGCCTGTTCTAAGTCATATAGTAAATTGTAAGTCAAGTTTTTTATGTAAAACTTCATGTCCCCAATTTTTGAAGTAATTTATCACTGATTAAGTTGATCTATTTTAGAATACATATATGTATATGTATTGCTGTTTGAAAGTCACATCAAAACCAATCTAAAACCTGGCACATATCTCTGGTTCTAGTCAATAGACTACATAAGCACAGCGCGATAAGTAACAGGAATAATAGTACTGTTAATGGTAAAGATGATTGAATACACCTACTCTATCTCAAGGGATCCCAAGTTATTTCACCCAACGCATTCAGCTGTTGGTCATAATAATTTTGTAGACTAAAACCAAATAGTCTCAATCTACTAATAAGGCTCAGTCCAATAGTCAGTAACTTCATGGACTAATATCACGTATCTGTTTGATTGATCCTAGCTTTCTCCTAATCCATTATTGCACCATCTGGCATCGCGCGTCGATGTAGGTGGTGCTTGGTGATATGCAGTTCATGGCCCATTCACTTTTGTCAGTGAAAAGTCACTACCTCATTAACCACCCGCGCATGAAGTCAGTATTGATCACTCGGTGGTCCCAGCATACGTTAACAATGCTTTAAAGACATCTACGACCAAACACTAGTAACTTATATATATATCCTATATTTTTGATGGCCATGTTTCATAACCGCGAAGCAAACATCTGGGCAGTAAACTCGTTCTTTATTTGGGAGGTAAACATTGCGTTTACGTCACGATTATCCCAAGTTGGAAAAGGCAAATCGAGCTTTCTGAATCTGAGCCGATATTTTGTCAGATACCAGCCGAATAAGACTGATTGGACTTCAAATTCAAGTAAAGTGGCCGATGCACTCAACTACCTCACTCCCTATCACCAGTTTAGTCATTGATGTTGACCAGTCTTAAAGGAACATTTATTTAGGAGGGGAGATATTTACCACAAACACATTGCTTATACTATGATGTATGATACTTATGCTGATAGGTACAAGTAGTATGTGGCACCAATCGGAAGTAGGATACCTGCCAGTAGGAGATTGAAATAAAGAGAACAGGAAAGGAATTAAAAATAGCAAAAGTCATAAAGCACATGGAAGACAACTGAAGGAATGTGTGCAAATAATGTATTTAATGCACGGTTTTCATATTTTACGAAGGCACTGTAATTTCGCATTAAAAGATAGATTGGCTTTCCCCCTCCTGAGTTTTCATTCAGTACAATATAGCTATTACATAAACTATCAATATCTGTCATCGTTATGTGTAGACAGATGAAGATTATCATCGACAATGACTGATCGAGGACGTAGAGTAAGATTTTAGAGCGTTGTCAAAAACGTTTCCTGTTATCAGTTATCTAACCGTAACCTGCATATATAAGATGAATACACAATTGTAGAGAAGTCAATGTACGGGTCTGTGGTTCTGAAATTATTGAAGTGCCTAAGACAAGTGACATGTGTATTCAAGCCATCATTTATCTTGAGTAAGGTGTTCGATATAAGTGAAAGTAGATTAGAAACAACTTGACTATGGTCAAAGTGAAATGTAGTATTATCTTATGAAGTTTTTATTCATTGGTTTGCGTTACTTAGAAGGATAGAAATCCTAGGGCTTTCAGAAACCGAAGGTTAGAAACCGTATATCGTGATATGGTCTGAAAGTAATCACAATAGCACAAGTGAGTTAGTCTTATTACTTCTTACCATCTATTACCTGATATCCCCTTTTTTATTCACCAATTTCCATCTTGATCAACCTACTGTTTCTACGCTTTAAGTATGTTATATCTTGTGGCCGAGTGGATGCCCAGTTAATGTATGACGTGATAAAACCTCCAATCAGAGAGCAGCAAATTATCGATTGGAACATTGACACACGAAAACCGTACGAGCAGTCTAGAGTGCTTATCGATCCTGTTTCTGCCTAGCCCAGCCAATTAAGTCCAGAACACCAATAACAGCCTCTGCGGTATGAATCATTATATTTCAAAAATACTGAGTTTATATACCAAACAGACTGACCACATCGTGCCAATAAAATAGAAAATAACATTTGTACAAGATTTAGCCAAATGTGGCTGTGGATAGGGGGAACAGTGATCAATAGACTGGGTATAACTCAAGAATGGTAAATCGTATAATAATAGTCTATAGGTCAAAATAAAGCTTATAATAAGGGTAACATGAATATGAATAGTTTGGTTACTTTGCAATTATACGATAAAAAATATATGCATAATATTGGTCCATAAATGGATCCCAAAGTTACCACTCACTATTGTTATCGGGATATAACAATGTACCGTTAAAAGTTTAGTGATATGAATCAGTTCACTATTTTGTAAGGTTTTATTCGAGGATTAGAATTATGCTCCCTTTAAAGATTTCAATATACTGGTCGATTTTCGATATTTCTGCCTTCAACCAATCAATACTGCGAAAATATGATTAGATTCACTTACTGTCTTGAAATTTTGTTCCTGATAAAATAAGTCATTGTCTCTATCGTTGGTTTGTTTATATGGCATTACATCTGTGGTATTAGTTTATAAATAGTTATTAATGAGGTTGGAACAAGTGTTGAGTATTCTAAGTCACAACCTACATCGACACGCGATGTTAGATAGTGGAACAATAGAATGAAAAAAAAGCTATCAGTGGCCTTATACATGGTATTAGTCCATGAAGTCATTGACTGTTGGACTGAACTGTGTTAACAAATGCAGACTATTTGATGAGGTTTTGCACGATAGCCATGACCAATGGTTGAAGATATTGATTCGTAGGGTCCTAATCAGTCGGAGCAAAGCATTTTCACTTATGTTTCATCTTACTCCAGATCTTAAGCTTCAATGTTGCTTCCTATGCATCTTTTCATTTCATCCTTTTTGAAACATACCCTCTTTTTCATTATCCTTTACTACTTCATTAATTCATCTCCTATGCTAGACGTGATGATATGTTCTAAGAGCGAGTTAACACACATGTGCCAGATTTATTTATTTCTACTTTGATTATAAAGGGAAAAATAATAATTAAATTTTCGATATTCACATCTATGTTTGTGATCAACTCATAACATTTAATGTAAATTAACTCTATTATGTTGATCTCTTCTACTCTTCTTACTTTCAAGCTTATTTTCATTGCATAAATTTATCTTTAGTAAACACAATTTCATGTTACCACTTATTTCTGTAAATATTCTCCATATACACATAATCTTCATTTTTATTGCTTAATATTTATTTATTTATTTAAACACTCAAATATTGGTACAAGAAAGTACCAGGTACATATGCGCCGCACAAATCTCATTTGACTTACGTGAGGGATGTGATACTGCCCAGGTGCCCAGACTGAAGCAGGTGATTTCCTTAGGGGGCCACACCCCGAGCCTTTGACCTAAAGGTCTAGTCCATAAGGCAGTGGAGCATCGTAAGGAGATGCAGTCCAATGGTAGTCGGTGACCAACGATTGATTCATACGCCATTTGTTCCCTCAGGATACTGAAGTCTGTGTGCACCATTGGATTGGAATCAGGGTTTTCCAACTCCTCTAGATGGACTCGCCGTGTCCACCGACGCGGTTAAAGTACCGGACATTCGCTTTTCGTCCTTTCAATTTCGTAAACAACACCTCCGTCACGATAATGCAGTGAGTAGAACTTCCCTGGTAGAGGCTATATATTCGCGTGTCGATATGAGAGCATTTCGAGAGGGAGAATGGACTCTTCCCACTCTTGGCTGTACCAGGGCATTTGGGGGCTCGCTTAATAAATTCTAAACGACTGTTTATCATCGATCTACAGTTTCTATTCTTCACATTATTATAAAATTTTCAACCATTAATTTTTGTTTACTCTCTTTGTTATCCTTAAAAAATAATTCAGTTTTCTGATTAGAAAAAATAAATCAATGTAATTAAGTTTTATTTGTAACTTCCCAGTTACTTTTCATTGGTTTTCATTAATGTTTATGTTTTGTAATAGACCAATCTGATTTTAAATAATGCATACTAGAATTTTATCATGATTTATTTGTCTAATCAGTATTGATTATTGAATAATAGTTGTAGGAACTTGTAGAGATTATCCATCTTCCACGATAGACTGAAATCAGTTGGAGAATTATTTTTTTAAAAAAATATGCAAAAATGTGATGTGGATATAAGTACTTGTTCATCTACGTACACAAACTACATTATCTTTCTTACATTTTTGAAAATGATATTTTGGCTATTATTCTTAGCTGAAGGTGTATAGAGGTTATAACTAGTTTGAAGCAGAAAAGAACCGGAGATAATAACAGTTCAAGTGTAATAATCATTGTACATGGTTGGAGAGTAAGTGATGTTGGTTGAAGATAGATTGCATCGACACAAATCTACTCATTCTTTTTTGTATCTGAAGTTTTATCATTATTTTATATTTTCTCGTTCTCTAATTTCATTTATTTTCGAACTATATTCTTCATGCTGAGTTTTCCTCATTTCAGTAGATAATATGACTACATGTTGTTTGGTTCTCTTCTGCATTTCTTCTTTGTCTTAGCTTAGAAGCAATCATGGCAGCTCAATTGTATTCGCTTCATATGTTACTATAGATATTAAGTTCCATTGTTCCTTTTTTGTTTGTCTTTACGAACTATGTTCCTGATACTTTGTTCTTTTCATGATTACTACAAATAACGACAACAGTTATTATTATTATTAGTAATAATAATAATACTATATTATTTAAATTTTTACCCGTCTTATTGATTCCCTTTTATTGTGCTGATGTGGTTTGGGAAATTGAATCAAAACACCTATGCTCCAGACTTTTCTCTGATTACGACTTTGTCATAATGCTAATATAAGACGTTTTAACTTTGCTCATTTATATAAGGTTCTATGTTGTTGTTAGTTGTCTAACAAATTTTAAAGAAATCTATTGTTCTGTGTATATCATTGTCAAATTATGTTATCGGTTAATTGATTATTGTAAATTATGTAATTCTTTTGCAGTTTATTTTACTTACTCATGTTTTTCTTCTAAAAAATCTCATTTCCAGCTATCACCATGTATATATTTTTGATGGACCAAGGTCGCCTTGTCTCACTAGATGACAACTTATTATCTCAAACGTAAGAAACATTTTTGTTGTTGTTGGTTTATCTATATAGATGAAGTTTTGTTTTAGTAGCCTACTACTGCTAAGTTATTTTTCTAACGTTTTGTTCTTTATATGTTTGTCAAACATTGTACACTTACTTTAGAGAGGAGGCTTGATGATTCTGCACATCAACTTGCACTATAGTTGATGTTCATTTGGATAATTAACATATATATATATATATATATATATATATATATATATATATATATATATATATATATATATATATATGATCCCAGTTTTTAGCTATCAAAGCCTGTAATTTTGCACATTTCATTGTATAACACACTACCGGTATCATACTTCGGTTGCTTGATCCCTAACAATATAACAGTTTTTATCATTCACTGTGGTATATCCACTAATTCCAACTAATGCAGAATAGTGATTAAGAAGCTGCATTTTCAGCTACTTCGTTCTGGGTTTGGATTTCTCCCTAATTCGGTGTGCGATCACTTCGGTAGAATTGTGTTTATTATTCATGATATATTTTTAAAACCCGGTTTTAGATTTTAAATGGTTAATGGCCGATTGATATGGTGGTTTAAGCCTGAGTTTCTTGCTTGCTGATATTTGTCAACAAGGTTAATTGGAATCGACGCGTTAATCAATGTGTGTGTGGTTTTTTTAATAATTTGGCTGAAGTGAAAAACTTGAATTAATTAGTCTTACATTACGGTATTTCGTTAGTACTTCATGTTTTACCAAGTGATTCCAGTAATAGTCGACAAAATGCCCTTCGATCTAGATTATATTTTTGTTAGTATTTATTCATCATAAAGGTATAGTGTATACAGCTCCTATTGTTTTTGAGATATGAACACTGTTCAATATTTCTTTAAGATGATAATCATCTCTATTTACCTTTTATAGCATAACTAACCTTCTGTAATCTATATTAATAATTAGTTTTGCCAGTAGACTATCATTAATCTAAGTCACAAAAGTTTCTCACGTTGATTGTATTGTTGATTTAAAAATACCTTTAAAATCATACATTTGTGTACATAATAACAATGATAATGAATTCTGACACAATAATCAATTCTCCACAAAAACCCCTTCTGATAATTATCATATGCTCACTAGTGACTGACTTCAAGAGATATTTCTTGGAGTTGTAGTGAGAAGCAGTGACCAGTGGAGTTCAACCAGGTCAGCTGGGAGATATCAACTCACCGAAGACATTGGTGATCGGTTGGTTGACGTCAGGCATTAACACCGTTGGATGCCGGCCAACACAGTGGTCTGGTGGTTAAGCGCTCGCGCGTGATATTGATATGTCCTGGGTTCAAATCTCGCAAGGCGGGATTGCGGGTGCGCACTGTTGAAGAGTCCTACAATAGGACGAAACGGCTGTCCAATGCTTTCAGGTTTTCCACGGAGACTAACAAATTAACATATGTTGAATATTTATTCAACCTATTGATTATTTATTTATTTAAACACAAATATTGGTACAAGAAAGCACCAGGTACATATGCGCCGCACAAATCTCATTCGATCTACGTGAGGGACGTGATACTGCCCAGGTGCCCAGACTGAAGCAGGTGGTTTTCTTAGGGGACCACAACCCGAACCTTTGACCTAAAGGTCTAGTCCATAAGGCAGTGGAGCATCGTAAGGAGATTCGGTCTCATGGTAGCCGGTGACCAACAGTTGGTTCATACGCCATTCGTTCCCTCAGGATACTGGAGTCTGTGTGCACCATTGGTTTGGAATCAGGGTTTTTCAACTCCTCTAGATGGACTCGCCGTGTCCACCGACGCGGTTAAAGTACCGGGCATTCGCTTTTCGTCCTCTCACTTTTGTGAACAACACCCCCGCAACGATAAGTCAGTGAGTAGGACTTCCCTGACAGAGGCTATATATTCGCGTGTCCATATGAGAGCATTTCGAGAGGGAGAGCAGACTCTCCTCACTCTCGCCGTACCAGAGCATTTGGGGGCTGAAATGTATCCATGTCTAATTTACACGCATGTTTATAATATGTGTATGTATATTACCCTATATCACAATATTTTTGTCGGATTCACTTCCTTATGTAGAAAAATTTCTTCATGCATATGAATCTTAATTTTTATTCATTACATAAATTTGTTTAGACACTTATATGTCTGTCTGTCTATCTATCTGTCTGTATATCTTATTATCAGACCATCTAAATAACCTGTTTATAGGTAATAGATTTTTGTCATATGATATATAGTTCTTTATATATTTATATCTCTATTATTGAATGCAAAACAGGTCACATGTGCAGGAAATTTGATTTTTAATATCATACTGGAGTATATAATAATAATAATAATAATGACCTTGTCTCATCTTTTCTACATATGACGTAAAGTATTGGGTTAGTTGTAGTCTAGGCACGTGTTCACTTTAAATTTACATCACTACCAGTGAATGCTATTTATTTATCAGTATAACAACTGTTGAATTGTTTTACATTAAAAGAAGATTTTCTACTGTTTTTGATAAACATTATTTATCAGAGGGGGTTTTGTGGAGAATTTAGTATTTTCACAGTTGAAATCATGAGTCAGTTGAAGCTAGACCACCATCGAAAACCTGGAAGCACTGGACGGCCGTTTCGAATCTCGTGGGTGCGGGATCGTGGATGCGCACTGCTGAGGAGTCCCATAATAGGGCGAAACGGCCGTCCAGTGCTTCCAGGTTTTCGATGGTGGTCTAGCTTCAATTGACTCATGATTTCAACTGTGAAAAACATTATTTAGTCAATTAAACAGATAGTAAGTGATCCCACAATTGATCACTTGTCAACCAGTTAGAATTCGACACATATGTACATCATTTCAGGGTTTCTATATTTGTCGACCTTAAGATTAGATGATAAGATATATTTTGTTCATAATCTGGCGATATTACTGATTTTAAATGAAACTTATTCATCCATCACAATTCCTTGAATGCAAAATCAGTAAGCTTGTAAGTTTATCAGACATAATTGATATTATAAACCATTGGTTATACCCCTATATCTATTATATTCTTTGTAAAAGTGAAACATCTATCTTGTTTGTTCCCATAATTTAACTGCCTATTTGATCAAAATACTAATTATATCTAGTCCCTTACACTCCCAACTAGTCTTGGTCATTTTTCTATTCAGGTTATTTGATATTATTAATAATGAAATAATACCATCTAAATTTATATACACTACGTCTCAATGATAGTGATAAGTTTACATCATTTCATTTCTTTCAAGGGTTTCAAGTCTACGCAATGTTTTGGCGCATGATTTTGACCTACCATTGAATAAACAAATTCTTTTAGTATCAGGTGGCTTTCAGTTGGAACCAGGTGATAAACTGTCAACTTATGGTGCAGGTTTGGTAAGTGTAATATACCATGATTATTATTATTGAGTGGTTGTATGTTTCTACCAGCAGATTTACTACTTGACATGAGATACGTAGATGATATAGTTATGTTTTTTGAGGACACTGACAAAATGCAGTCTTTAGACCACATTAAGGAACAATGGTAGCATACTTGTAATGCGATTCTCTCGCTCTAAATGCAAAATGTTGCTTCGGGATTTTCGTACATCAGTTCCTGAATTAATGATAAGGAGTGAAGTAGTTGAGTCCATCAATCACCTCTCTTATGTTGGGGGGTCTCATCCATCTCGATGAACTGGTATCTGACGAAATTTCGGCACAGATTCAGGATGCCCCATTGGCGTTTACCAACTTGCGTCAATTGTAAGGTAGTCAAAATATTCATCTAGTAACCAAAGGATGAGTTTACTACACAACAGTTTGTTCCGTTCTGCTCTGTAGGTCTAAAACCTGCCCCATAAAAATCAAGGATATTCTTAGATTATTAGTATTTGAGGTTAAGTATAATGTACTGGGTAAAAAAGGCAAATAGACTGATGTGGTAATGAATCTTCAATTGACGTCGTTGAGACATGTGTTACGTATAACCAACCACTGCGTACCTCGACGAGCGATGTTGTCTGTTGGAATATATTCGAAAAGTGCTGGTGGTGGCCAAACCAAGACGTGACACCAGTCCACTAAGTCGTTGACAATTAAACTTCGGTTTGGGCACCCGGGCAGTATCACAGCCCACACACAAACAAATGAATGAAATTATGAACTCTACTGACGATATCCCTGGTCATACTAAAAGCAAGACAATTAACATTATTATTATTATTACCTTTATTATTATTATTATTATTATTATTACTTACCATATCGCTAATTCACCCCCTTTTATCCCCAATTTGTGTAACCTTACTCTTCAACTTATGCAGCAGCTCGCTCTTGGTGGAAAATCTGTCCTATCTAAACGATCTCCAGTCACTGTCTGGTTGAAAGTGAATGCTTCCATCGATTATGAATACTGAGGCAGTCTTTCTGAAACCACGTACGCCGTTCAAGCTGGCTTCCTTCAACGTTCGCACACTAATGCAGATCAGACAACAGATAGGGCTGGCTATGTCTTTGGAAGGTCTTAATGTTGACGTTTGTTGTCTATCCGAGACCCGTATTCAAGACTCTAGTGAAGTACTACAAATCCGCTCTCCATCTGTCGCCTCGAAAAGCTTGTTCCACGTGCGCTTATCCGGGGACCCTGTGGCATCTTCGTCTGGTCTTGCTGGCGTTGGTGTCGCACTAAGCGCTAGAGCTGAGGCAGCACTAATCGATTGGATCCCCATTAACAGTCGGTTATGTGCTGTTAGATTAGAAAGTTCCATCAAAGTGAGAAGAAATCGGCGTGAGAAACGGTGTCTTTTCGTCATCTCCGCCTATGCCCCGACAGATTGCAGCCCGGATGCAATCAAGGATGAGTTTTACCATCAGTTAACAGTTCTTCTCCAGAAAGCGCGTTCGACAGATATTGTAGTACTAGCCGGAGACTTGAATGCACAGGTCGGGCGTCTAGGCACAGAAGAGAGTCGTCTAGGTGGCCGATGGGGACTTGTTGGTCGCCGGACAGATAACGGGGACCGTTTGCTGCAACTGTGCACAGACCACAACCTGTTTCTGGCCAGCACTAACTTCCGGCACAGTCATCGCCGGTGTGCCACCTGGCGTCCTCCCTCTGCATCCCAAGCCTGGACTCAGATTGATCACATCGCGATCAGCTACCGCTGGCGTGGTTGTGTACAAGACTGCCGCTCCTTTTGGAGTACCTATCTGGAGTCTGATCATACCCTGGTCTGCGCCAATCTCACCTTACTTTTCAGTGGCCGAAGGATTGACCACCACCAACGGATTGATATTAGTAAACTGGCTGCAACTCCTGTTGCAAGTAAGTATCGAGCTGAGCTAGCCTCTAGGCTAGCTACCACCCCATCGAAAAGTATAGACGAGCATTGGTTGCATCTTCACGACGCCATGAAAATGGCGAGTAAAGCCGCTTGCGGCTTCGCGAAACGTCCCGCTTACAAGCACTGGGTTTCTTCTGGCTCCTTACAACTGATGGAAGCCCGTCGGTCTACTCCGGGTGACCGTGAGTTTGACCACAAACGAAGGCTGCTACGTAATGAAATCGGGCAAAGCTTGTGTAAGGACCGGGAAGCCTGGTGGTCGGAGCGTGCTAATGAGATGGAAGCAGCAGCTGCATCTGGTAACTGCCGGAAGCTCTTCCAACTCATCCGAGCCACTGGCAGCAAGAAGTCTGGTGTGAGTGAAACAATCTACGAGGATGACGGGATGCCAATCACTAACATCTGTCGACGTCTTGGACGATGGGCGGAATTTTTCGAAGGGCAGTTCAACTGGCCTGCTGCTCCGGCAACATCAACCAGCTTGTCCTGCTCCCCATGGCCGGTGACAACTGATCCACCAAACGAGGCGGAAGTCCGCAAGGAACTCCAACTCTTGAAACGTTATAAATCACCTGGCCCAGATGACTTACCTCCGGCTCTTTTTAAAGATGGTGGTGACTTTCTGGCTAAGGAACTGACTGTGTTGTTTGTAAAGGTTTGGGAGCAAGAAAGTGTTCCAACATCTTGGAATGAGTCAATAGTCGTCCCTATCTTCAAAAAGGGTTCACGTTGTTCCTGCAATAACTACCGGGGGATAAGTCTACTTTCGATCGCGTCCAAACTATTGGCTTCTATCATTATTCGTAGGTTGTTTAAAACCCGAGAACGATTGACTCGCGAGGAGCAGGCTGGTTTTCGTTCTGGTCGAGGATGCATTGATCACATCTTCACCCTCCGCCAAATGTTAGAACACCGTCATACTTATCGCAGGCCAACAATCGTAGTGTTTCTTGATATCAGGGCTGCCTTCGATTCGTTGGACAGGACTGTTCTCTGGGATTGTCTATTGAAGAAGGGTGTGTCTGAGAAGTTCATTAACATCTTAAAGGCCCTGTATACGAACACCTCAGGCAGAGTGAGGGCATACAACCACCTTTCTCCCTTGTTCCATTCGAGCAGTGGGGTTAGGCAGGGTTGCCCGATCTCACCATTCCTCTTCAACTTTGCCATCGACGACATCTTGGAAACAGCTCTGATGGATGTAAGTAATGGCGGTGTGGATATGTTGCCTGGAGAACGACTTCTCGACCTTGAGTATGCGGATGATATTGTCTTACTGTGCGATAATGCCCAAGGCATGCAATCAGCACTTAATCAGTTGGCAATCAGTGTCCGCAGGTACGGCATGTGCTTTGCACCCTCCAAGTGCAAAGTACTTCTACAAGACTGGCAGGATTCTCATCCTGTACTCACCCTGGATGGTGAGGAGATCGAAGTAGTTGAGAAGTTCGTGTATCTAGGTAGCTATATAAGTGCTGGTGGTGGCGTGAGTGATGAGATTGATGCACGTATAATGAAAGCCAGAGCGGCTTATGCCAATCTGGGCCATCTTTGGCGCCTTCGTGATGTTAGTCTGGCTGTAAAAGGTCGGATCTACAACGCGTCGGTGAGAGCAGTTTTGCTCTATGCTTGTGAAACCTGGCCTCTCCGAGTTGAGGATGTTAGACGTCTCTCTGTGTTCGATCATCGTTGTCTCCGAAGGATTGCTGACATCCAGTGGCAACACCATGTTAGTAATGCAGAGGTTCGGCATCGTGTGTTCGGGCGCAGAGACGATAATTCAATTGGTGTCACCATCTTGAAACACCGACTTCGGTGGCTCGGACATGTTTTACGAATGTCGTCCCAGAGACTTCCACGTCGTGCATTATTTGCCGACCCTGGGACTGGTTGGAGAAAGCGGAGAGGAGGTCAGTGTATGACATGGTGTCGTGGCATGAAAGAGAGCTGCAAAGGGCTAGCTTCCGTTGGTCCTTCACGACTCCCTGGTTGGGGTCCGAGAGATAGTGCAACACAGTGGCTAGAGACGTTATCGGATATGGCTCAGAATAGAAGCCAGTGGCGATCCTGCTGCAACCTTCTTTTACTTTCTACATAAAGAATGGTTCTAACTTTCCTAACTGAAAGAATCTTCTGGTTGTACATTTCAGCCCGCCTTATCTTTTCATCCTTTATCTACCTACTTTCATTATTTTGTGTGGCGCATATGTACCTGGTGCCCTTTTGTACCAATATATATGTGTTTAAATAAATAAAAATAAATGACAATTAAACTGAGCTAAATTAATCTATGTAGACTGCCTAACCAATAGTTGTAGACTTTAGGTGAGGTTGCTCAAAATCGTTTTCAATGGTTCACGCTCATCCATTCTTTGCCTCCCCCCAAATTCTAAGCTTCTGAATTCCTCAGTTTCTTTGTTTTTGTTTCACTAATCTATATAACTTTAGTGCTTAATCTCTTCTTATACCACCGTTACTGTTACTACCTCTACTATTCCGGGATTTGTCCTGACAATTTTATCTTATTTTGTTAATGGAGTATGGCAACTTAGACATATGGACATACTATATCTAGTTTCACGTTGTGACTGACTGGTTGTTTATGATAATCTTAAAAGATTTAATCCCGATGATTTGTGTGGTCTGTGTACTACTCGAAGATATCAGGCATTATTTTGTCATCAAGTAATCTTACCCAAGTAAACCACAGCTCTCTTTGAGTTTATTAAATAATAGAAACAAACTGTGATCTTGGCGTTAGATATAACTTATACAACGTTGTTGATTGATTTGATTGTTGGTGTTTGTATCGCAAGGTAATAATCCTGAGGAAGTCCAGACAAGTTTGCCGGACGAAACTTTGGGATTACTTAAACTTCAATCGCTGAGATTATTTCAAATATAGTTTTCACCTATAATACATTATTTAATTTGTTATTAGTATAATAGTAAATCTGTATGATCTTAATGAGTAGAAAATTAAATTTCTGACATCTCACAACTTAGTATGTAGGCCACTTGTTTAAAGAAAGTAAATCACAAATCCGT